TTATTATTATTGTTTGTTATTATTATTATTTTATTATTATTTTTATTGTTATTATTATTAATTATTAATTGTTATTTTATTATTATTATCTTATTATCATTATTATTATTATTTTATATTATTATTATATTATATTATTATTATTATTATTATTATTATTGTTATTATTATATATATTATTGGTTATTACATCTTATTATCAATTTTCTTGTTAATTAATTAATAATATTGTTATTAATTATTATAATATATATTATTATATTATATTATTATATATTATTAAATTATTATTATTATAATATTATTATTATTGGCTATTATTATTGTTTTATTATTTTTATTATATATTATTATCATTATTGTTATTATATTATTTTTAATTATTTTTATTGTTTTAATTCATTATGATTATCATTATGTATATATTATTATCATTATGATTATTTATTTTGTTTATTATATATTAAATTAATTAATTTCATTGTTATTATTGTTATTATAATTCTCTCTTCTCTTTTTCTTTTATCTTTGTTTTTATTTCCTATCAAAATATTCTTCATTCTTTATTCTTTGTCTGTTGCTCCTGTCCTGTCTCTCTCTCGCTCTCTCTCTCTCTCTCTCTCTCTCTCTCTCTCTCATCTCTCTCTCATCTCTCAATCTATCTATCTATCTATCTATCATATCCTATCTAATCTATCTATCTATTTACACACACACGAGCCATATACATATATATATAATATATATAATATATATATATATAATATTATATTTAATGTGTGTGGTGTATAGTTATATAATATAAAATTAAAATAATGGATGTGTGTGTTGTGTGTGTATGTGTGTGATGTGTGTGTGTGTGTAGTGGTGGGTGGGTTGTGGTGGTGTGTGTGTGATGTGTGTGATGCGTGCCGTGTGTGATGCGTAGTGTGTGGTGTGTTAGTGTGTTGTTTGTGTGTGTGTGTTGTGTGTGTGTGTGTGTAGTGTGTGTGGTGGTGTGGTGTGTGTGTGTGTTGTGTGTGTGTGTGTAGTAAACATAGTTCAAACTAATAAGTAAACGCATAAGAAAAGATGAAGGCAAAAGAGAAGCACTTATCATAAACAAAAAAGAAAACAAGACGTTAGAATTCGACTGTGAAGGAAGGAGGGGGAAGAGAAGATAAGAGCGATAGGGAGAGAGGAGTTAAAGAGGAAGACGAAGGGGAAGGAATTGATGAAAGAGGGGGAAGGTAAAGAGGTAGGAAA